GTGGAATTTCAACGACAAGCATATGAGCTGCAGTTATAAATGATGCGATTGAATCAACATCAGCATTAGCTGGGAGATCAAAGTTTCTTTCGAATTTTTTTTGTACAAGACGATTTTCAGTACGTTCTTCGTAAACACCTGATATGGTTAATTTATGATTTTGAATATAAATCTAAAGGAAATAAAATAAACTAGAAATGTAATTCACAATTTTTTTTTTCTTACTTTAATTTGATCAGGTTGAAAATTTTCAACGTCAAATGTAATACGAAATTTCTCTGTATCATGAGAATGTTTTTCGTATACTAATTGTTGATTTGGACGACTAAGCCAACGAATATTTTCATCTTGACCAGGTGCAAAATCAAATGCATTAAACCATATATCATTTTTGTTATTTGAACTATTTGAATTTGTATTTGTACGTTGAATTGGTACGGGTTGTGTCGCCATTTTTATATATTATTGTTATGATAGATAACTGTGGTTTGTGCTAAGCATATTTATACATGGATAGTATCGTCTTTTCCTTGTCAAGTGGGTGGATAATGACAAGATTTTACTCATCTGCAAAATAGCTTTTTTCTACCCACTATCTTCCTTCTAAGTATGCAGAATTGTTGCTTTTTGATTATTGATTGATATGTGCGTTTTATGATTTTCTTTTAGACGTAAAATAAATACACTTAAGTGGAGGGATATAACAACACATATCTACTTATAGAGATCAATGAGTTTCCTTGTTTTATCCATATGTATAGAAACTAGTCGATCAAAAGAATTTCAATGTTTATTACTCGACATATGAAGATAACATATCAGAATAAGATCAACTAAGATTGATAAATCTGTTGACACAAAGCTACAGAGTTTTCTTTTAAAGTTTGCATAGAAAACCCAAAACTACCTACAATATGATTACGAGTATTTATGTATTATTAATAGAAATAGATTGATTGACATATTCTTATAAACATTGTCTTTCCGCAAAAAGCAATTAAGAGAATACTGATAATTGATGTTTTAATGTCATATTTATTTTTAACTATTGTTTAACATTGTGTTAATAGCCACTGAATAATAATCTATTTTTAATCGAAACTATTTGAAAGAGACGAATATTCGACAATATAACACATTAAATAAGAAAATCTTTATACATCTAAATCATTTGTTTGACTTAAATATCAAACATTAACATTCTGCTACAATTCATTTTATTAAATAGTTTTTATTTAAGCTCGAAAGTATTTTGTTGACGGCGTTTTTCATTTGATAACTATGCTCGAATCATAATCATATGTTTCTTGCAAGAAAGATCATTCAATCTTATATTGATGAACAATATCATTTATAATCATTTTATAGTTGAAGAAAATTTATTTAGGTACAAGAAAACAAAATGAACATTTGATGTCTTATTTTTCTTAAATAAATATATTCCAAAACCTAAATTAACTCGATAATTGCATTATTTTGTTTTTTAATTTTCATTTTAATTTGAAAATTTATTCTTGCAAATGTGCTTTTTCATATGATTTTAACAAGAAAATATTTCTTTTAAAGTCTCCTATGATTTTAGTTGAATTATTTACATAGTTTGACAAAATATAAGTAAAATGAAATTTCATAATCCAAAAAAACAGATTTGTTTTTTTCTTCCATTCCTATGAATTCATTTTATACAGTAGAAAAAAATATGTTCGAAAGGTAGTAAGAATATTGGTGGTAGAAGAATCGATTTTTCTTTCTCTTCTAACCTTGAAATATGAGTAGACAAATTCAAAATAAATAAATAAATAACTTCTGAATCATTTCGATAAAAATATAAAAGAAAAGTTGACGTGAACACATAGAAATGGGTAACCGTTGTACTCGTCCAAAAACAAAAGATGATATTTATTCAACTCCTAGATTAAGAGAATCAACAAATAAATCCACAGTGAAGATCAATTTATCTGGTAACAATTTAACAGACCGTGATATTCCCGATAGAATAGAAGAAGCCATGCGAGAGACAAAATATGAATTATCATTATCAAGAAACAGAATAACATCAGATGGTGTTGAGAAGTTGGTCAATTTTCTTAAAACAAAGGAAAATGTCGCGCATCTTGATCTATCATCAAATACAATTGGAGATGATGCAATCGACTATATTGTCGACTTAATTCGAAATAATAAATCTCTCTCTCATTTATCTTTGGAGAATACCAATATAACAAATCGTGGAGTCGTCAAAATTAAGGATGTACTTATCTCGAATCCAACATCTATTCGATTTCTGGATCTTCGATCAAATGAAGGGATCACAGATTCTTCGGTGGAGGCGTTTCTTGAAATTGCTGAAAAAAATAAAACATTATCTGGTTGTTATTTGGATGGTTGTGGATTGGCTAGAGAAAGTAAAAAACTTCCAGGAGCACAATCAATCCAATGGTATTTACATAAAAATACTTGACAATTTTATTATTCTTGCTTTTTTTTCAGTTTTTCTTCTTACTCGTCCTAATTTATTCTATGTTTCACGATCAAACTTATTATGTTTCATTCTAAACATGAAGAATTTTTCTTCGAAGTAATTTTTAAAAATATAATCAATATGTGAGAGTGAAACATTTGTAGACATCAGAATTCGTTTTTTGTAGATTTTCAATCTATTGTCAACAATTGTACTAATATGGCTTCTTATACTAGGAGTGTCATACTTTTTTTTTAAATTCTATTTTTCATGGTAACACTAAGTATCTTTATCAAGGGAAAACTTTCTATTTATGAGTGATCAATGGTTAGTATATCCATAGACTATTTATCGTTGCATGATAATTATCATCATCACTTACTACACACAAGGTTAATATTAGCTGGTACCATTTAATACTGACTGGTAACAATACTAGTGGCATGACACTTCTATATTGGACCGATTTTTCTTAGATTGTTGGTCTTCATGGTCATAAGTCAAGATTCTATTTACATTAACTTTAGTGTTAGATTCTTGTCGGAGAAAAGTAGATGTTTACTTCTTGACAAGGCCAATGTAGAACAAATCTTGGCTGATGATGCCAGAAGTGTCTTACTAGTAAGATTGTTACGTAACTGAATTCTTGTTTGATTCTCTTTTTCTTTCTTTCATACTTTCAAGATTCTTCTGATACAAGTATAGATTTTGTTCAACATCAAAAAGAGCTATTTTCTTTAGAATTGTTCTATTTTATTTTTAACTTTAATGAAAAGCATAAAAAGAAGTAAATAAAGTAACTAGTATGTATAAAAAAATTCAAAGAACTTAATTGTATTGCAAATACTTCAGGCACAGCCATAGATGGCCCTTTACAGTTTTCAGTGTTGGAAAGAGAACATATAACCTTATCAAATCATTTAAAAATCAAACAATCGAGCAGCAATCAGTATTGGTCAATTTTCAGTGACCATTTTCAAAAGAAATCCATAAAAAAACCTTCTCATGACATTTCGATTTTTAAAATGATTATTTGATAGAGATAATCAAGGCTTTTCGGCCTATACAAAGTGTCTGTCTGAAATGAATTGATATAGAAGGTTTTTGACCATATTATACATATGAAACAGTAACGAAATTATCAAAGCAGATCGATCTTGCATAGATCGAAAAGCCTCGATTTTTCTCATCACAAGACTATCTGAAAAGTCAAAATACAAGAGGAAAACGTTTATATGGATCGTTTCGCAAATGGTCACTGAAAATAGACTAATACTGACTGCTATTTAGTTGTTTGATTTTAATTTCATTGGATGCTTTTTAAAGTCGTGTTTCCTATAGTCTTATTTGTCGTCATTATTCGAAATGATCCTACGCAATTAAAATACAAAAGTCTCGAACTTTTTCGCTATTTGGAAAAGTATGGGCGTTACATTGAGTTACCTTCGAAAACACTTTATTTCTTTTTCTACCAACTTTTGAGTTACTCTTAGTCTGATAAACGTCGAGCTCTGGAGGAATACAATAACTTAGGCACGTCATGTTGATATACTCTTAAAGACTATATGAAACTTCTGAACTATTTTCTTCATCTGTTATTGTTGTGTAGTTTTCATGATATAATCATTCTTCTACATTATCATATATATTTCTTGTTTTGTGAAATTCTATTCATTGTTTCTATTTCACAAACAGAATTAACTCGAACTGGATCATCTGTAAAACTATTTTTATTTTAATATTAATAACCATTGATACTTTATCTGAAATATGCTGAATAAAACTTCGAAGAATATAAGATCAGGTGATTGAAAAATCATGTAAATCTTTGATTTTATTGAAAAATTGTTACACGGTTCTGTTTGTCGTTTCGACCTTTGAGACCTTCTGTATTTTTAAGTTATTTTATCACTACACCATCAGTCCCCATGACTGATTGACTACATTGTTTGACACGTATCCACAAGATTCGGTTTGCAAACCTTAGTACCTCCAGTTATGGAATAACTCTGCACAATCTACTAACGACTATTTGTTTCGGATCATTCGTTCAATAATACGCTGACTAAGTTGTGGCATACATCTGCTCACATAGTTGGTGGCTATGTAAGAGGAACGCAAGAAGTCTGAGTTATGTTGGCCTTCTATCCAGAGCTACAACTGATAGTAGTCTTAGGAAATATATTGGTCTAATTAATGTTGTGGTACTAGGCAATACTCTATATCGCAACGTAACTGAAAGGTAGAGGTCTTTCTCTTTCTTCAATTATATCACTAGATCATCTTTGCCAATAACAATTCTGTTAAATTGTACTCCTACATAGACTTAAACTATAATCAGTTTTACAAAATTATATTGATTTAAAATTATTAATAATTTCTCTTATAGAAAACATAAAGTATCAATCAAAATAGTATAAACCATGAATATCACTTTTTCATTTTATTTTTATGTATACATTCTTTTTTCAGAGTATAAAAATTAAAATCTTTAAGAAAATTATTTAAAATTTATTTAATAAAGAAAAAAAATAATTTTTTAAACAAATATTTCAAGTAGATTATCAACTTGACTTCTACAAATCGGACATGTTTGTTTTTGAGTATTATTCCACAATTGTTTACTACATGTTACACATACACATAAATGTCTACAAGGTAATAAAACAATATTTTTTCTATCATTGCAACAAATAACACACAAACAAGAATCATTAGTTAATTCTTGTTGCAATTTTCGACGCATAAATCTTGCATAAGATGGTCGTAATGAGCGTTTATCAATATTAAATTGAAATAAATAATCATCATCATCATCATTATCATGATTAATATTTGTTACGTTATTTTTCTTTATCTCAATAAATTGACGAACTAAAAATTTTTTTAATAAATAAATACTAATAATAACTAAACCAATACTTATCACAATATCAATTTTATTTGATAATAATAAATTAATCATTATATCTTAAGAAAAAAATTTACATGTTTAGAACAAAGTGTCTATATACAACAGAAAACATTTTTTATTATTCATTAACTACAAAAAACAAATTTTTGAATACATAAGAAAATTATCTATACATATTTTTTTTCAGCGTTATTTATTTATCATGAGTATTAATATTTGTTGAATTCGTTGATGGTGGCCATGTTGTAGTAAATTCATCAAAAGCATGTGCAAATGTGTATGATACATAAATATTTTTCCATGAATTTTCATTACGAGAAAGATAAATTAATTTAGACATTTTATGAATAAATGATAACAAAAAAGAAACGATGATTTATTGTTCACGTCGAGAAATTGAATTGAGGATGATACCCAAAGATTAAAAGCGAAAACATAAGGGAGTCATGCTATTTTATTTTTATGTCGATGGTGTCTCAATGGTGGACGCGCCATATTTTTAATTCTTTTCTTTCTTTTCATTTGCGTGTATAGTCAAACACAGCAATTTTAGCTTCCAAAAATAAATCTTTATTAAATTATAAGTACTTCTGTACATCAAAAGTCAAAAGTACATTGATAATCAATTGATTTATTACTTGCATAGATAAAAGCAAAGGGGACACTTGTACATTAATATTAAAATTATTTTATAGATGACTGGCGAACTATTACTAGAAAATGTACCCACGACCTCCCTTAAAAAATCTTTAGAATGACGAGAAATCATTGTTAAAATGACAGAAAATCTTTTTTATCTCACTATCAAAACATGACACAATGGGAAGACAAACCTAGAATTTTCGCTAATTTGTTTTTGTGCAACCCAGTTTTTTTTAATAAAGACTACAGACATAGTTTAAATGAAATCCTTTTGCTGTTATTACAAGTGAAACAGTGATGGTATTTCACTGGTGTGGTAAGTCTTGCTTGAACAACAGAATCAAACTCGAGAATTTTGACAAAGCTCCTATAGATCACAGCTGCAACCGACTCGGTGCAATCAGTTTTGAATATCTTATGGATCGATTAATAGAAATGGGTTCAAAAAAACATTCATTTTTGTTTTTGCACTCGAGTTTTTATAAATCTTCAGGAAGAAATGTCATATCATAGCCTTTTATACTTGTTGTAATGCTTAAAGATGAATATTTGCTATATATATATAGGCAACAAATTATTTGATCTGTAAAATGGATGAAAGTACCAGTAAAAAAGTATATAAATGATCAGTTTAAAGGTTGAATGATCAGTTAAGATATTGAATGATCAATACTTAGATTACCAGTAAATAATATGAAAATGATCAGTTTATTATACAGAATAGCAGTAAAAAAATATCAGTTGTACCAGTAAAAAAAAGAAATTTGATAAGTAAAAAATGAAAATTTGATAAGTAAATAAGACAGATTTTATCAGTAAAAAAGATGAAAATATTGGCAATGTGTAATATAGAATGAGGAGGTTGTGGGTGTGGATATTTAAACATTATGATACTCACACCCACACCCGACCATGCGTTACTAAGTGATGCTTCGGCTTCACCAGCATTATCAAACACAGCTTCTTTGACCCAATATTTTGTTCTTTTTTTCTTCTTTTGAGGTTTTTCATTACTTTCTTTATAAACTTCTTCATCTGATAAATCACTTACATATTGAGCAACCTGGATTCCTTCCATATTTTTTACGTGTTAACAATATGATAAACGTGAAGGAACAAGAAAAAGAAAAGCATATATATGTTACATTGTGTAGATATAGGTCAATGAAGAAAAAGAAAGAAAGACAACAAATCACAAAGTGATTCATCTTGTCCTACTTTTTACTTCTCTACTGATTCTTTGATTTAACTGACTGCTATATTATTTTATTTACTGATATTCAAATTTTATTACGTCACCTTTTCATTTAACAACTGATCATATATATAGTTTACTGGTACTTCAATATATAACTGATCATTCATTCAATCAACTGATTTTATAATATTTTTTCCTACTGATCATATCATCTATTTTACTGATCACTTAAATCCATGCCATATATATATATATGTCATCCAAACAGAGTAATCTACTTATGAACTAATTGCTAAACCCCACATCTTGAATTTTTTCACTCAGCTTTTTCATATAGATTTATCCTTTCTCTTCAAACGACGATTCAAAGCTAAATTTGATCTTTACGAAAATATATATGATATCAGTTTAGCTCAAGTAACACATTGTTCACTATGCGTTTTAAAAAATGAAAAAAACTTCAATTAACGGAATAAAACAGTATGATCGATTTTTATTCGACTAAAATGGCATATACATAAAGTATTTTCCAACCGAGGAAAACCGACTGGTTCAACCATTTTAATAGGTTCGATTATAACTCTATTATAGATTCAGATTCCTGTGCATCGAAAATCTTTAGTCTATTTTTTATAAAAAACAACTTATTTCTTGAAATGACCTTGTAGATGGAACAGGTCGAAATCAACTCTAGCCTACCATAGTTTTATCATGTATTCACTGACTTCACCGTTAATCAATAGGTACTTGTTTAAACCTCTGCAAAGCTATACGTAAGATTGATGTATCCATAACTGCTGTACTGCCCAGTATAAGAGAATGCGAAGAAAAATAGAGCTAATTAAAATTTGATTGATTTTCCTAAAAATTCGAAATGGCGCTGTCCATATTTTCATAGAATATTAACTCTTCACAGACTTATTCTAACTCAATTTCTAATACAATAAACCAGAAAAGAAATATCAAGTATGTATTCTCGTACGAGAAAAGACTTTTAGCAAAATGCCTTGATTTCTATATTAAAAGTTCTTTTCGTAACCAAACTCAAATAAACATAACTAATATTTGGTGAATATTTATCACACCAATATCAGTTATGTCTAGTTGGTATGGAGTTTCTAAATTTCGCTAATTTCACTGTGAATTAGATATGGATTTTAAAAAAAGGTTTCTATAATATATATTTATGAGTATAAGCTACAACATATATATATTCTAATTATATTAGCTTCAAGTTGTACATATATCCTATGTTAGTACTATTTTGTGATAACTTGCAAAAGCTTCATCCTATTTCCCCTAGCACATACCCTGAAAATATTGTTAATGACGAAATTCTAACTGTCTTCTTTGATATAACAAACTAATAAACTAAAATCGAACTCTTTTTCATTTTTGATGCCATAATATAAAAAAAGAATTTTGACACATCACCAAAGTCTACTCTACTTATATAATGCTATGACTAACTATTGTTATAATATTGTATTTGATTTGTTATCAAATATCGCACATTTATTTTTTAAATCGATTTGATCTGAAATAAAATAAAATAGAAACACATATCAAATGCTTTTATGTTTTAATAGAAGCATGTTTTATTATTTATGAAAAAAAAAGAAGCGTTATTCAAACAGCTACTCCTTGATTTCCAGTTAATGTTTGTACTAATGTTCCTTCTTCATTCATTTGTTTAAGAATATCCAAACCACCAATAAATTGTCCATTGACATATATTTGTGGATAAGTTTGCCATGATGAATATTCTTTAAGTTTTTGTAGAACATTTTCATCTTGTAATACATCAAATGTTTTATAATCTTTTATATTAGCTTGATTTAATAGATTAATTAATTCTTTTGTAAATCCACATTTTGGTTTTTCAGGTGTACCTACGATAAAAAGCATTAATGGTGCTTGATGAATTAAACTTTCTAAGTATTTTTTCATATCTTTATCATTATCATTTATTTTTGATTGTTTAAATTTTAACTGAAATTCACCATTTTCAATCATTTGTTTCATTATATCTAAACCACCAATTAATTCACCATCAGCATATAATTGTGGATATGTATTCCAATTTGAATAGATTTTTAATTGTTCACGTAAATTTTGATCAGAAAGTACATCAAAATAATCATATTTTATTTTATATTCATCAAGTATATGACATGCTTGTCGACTAAAACCACATTGAGGATCTGTTGGTATACCTTTCATAAATAAAATAACTTGTGATGATTTTAATAAGTTTTTTATTTTATTTTCAACATTTATATCAGTATTAGATTTTGTTTCGACTATAGTTGGTATAGAATCAATTTTACTGATATGATACTGAATTTTTTTTAATAAATCACTTTGATTAAAACCATCAACACGATCAATTAATTTTGTATGATAATAGAAAAGTACAGTTGGTGCTGCATTAACATTTTGTAATGTAAGAAAATCAGAAAAATGATCAGCATTTAAACGACATACTATCAATTGTTGACTAAATTCTTCATTACGACTTATTGCTAATAAAGCTTCATTGACTGTTTTACAAACTGGTATTTGTTCTAATTCAACATGAACAAGTAATAATTTATTAATGATAGACGATGAATTTATATATTCATCGAAATCTTTTTGAGTAGCAATTTGATGAACATCAACACTACTTTGACTGGACATGATTTATCTAGAAAAAAACCAGAATTATTAAAAAAAAGACACTTGACATATGATCTTATATTCTTGTTTAATTTTATTTTATATACAAAACAAAAAAAAATTAACTCAAGATAATGAAGAGCTAAGACTATCTCTTGTTCTTCTTTAGTTCAATGACGACGATTTTTTCTTGATGGTGAATGGCTATGTGAACGTGATCTAAAGAAACATTATTAATCAATTTATTGGCTTTATAGGAGTTAAAAAAATCACAACAAACCTTTTTCGACGGCCACGAAGACGTTTTTTAACATCTTGTGATATTGTTTTAATGTGCATAAAGTTACAAAAACCACTTCTCATACACTATTAAAAATAAATAGCAATAAAAAATTTTCTTCTCTACATATAAAGAAAAATAAAAAGACCTACTTCGCCTAATTCATACTGGCGACAACTAGCTTCTTTAAAATCTGTGACAGGACTAAAACAATAATATTATAATATACAAAACAAGAATTCAATAAAATAATATTTACCTTAATTCTGCGTAGATTGGTTTTCTATCAAACCATCGTGTATTAAGATCTTCTACAGCTCGTTCAGCATCTCGTTCATAACGAAACTAAACAATCATATTATTCATATTAAAAATAATCAAAATTAATAATTTCTTTTTTTTCAAGTTCTTTACTTTAATATAAATATTTCCTACAAGATGTTCGCCAAGATTGTCACAAACAGTCATTGCTTCAATTTCACCATACTAAATCAGTTATATACAAATCGTATTCACGATATAAGAGAAGAAATAAAATAGGGATGATGAAAAAAATACAAACGTTTTTCCTAAAAAAACCTGTAAACACAGAGAATTTTTTGTTTTCATATTTATCATTCTACCTTTTATATCTTTATACATATGAAGAGCATTTTGTTATAATAGAAAAGAAATGTAGAGATCCTCCTGCAAAAATGGGACTAGAAAAATTTTAGAAAAATATTAATTAATATTGTACGTGATAATTTGAGATGCAAGTGTCGTTGATGTCTGATTTTCACAAATCAAGCCTGCAATAATGGATAGAAGCTTAGGCAGATCGGTGATAACAAACAAAGGAAAGAATAAGAAAATTTCGCGTTTTTTCGCATTCTCTAGATTTTGATAAACATTCAACAATAGGATGAAGGGAAACTTGAAATCTTTATTTAATAAGTACTAAACAAACATCGAACTTACCTTATCTTCAACTTCTGTATAAACTTCTTCATAAAATTCACTAAAATATAAACATATGTATGAAATTAGATATGTATAAAAATGGAATTTCTTTAGATCGAACGAAATTACATAGGTATATATAAGAGAAGTGCATTTTTATCAAATGATGAAATTTACAAAACTTTTCTAAATAATCACATAGGCAGATCTCTACCTAATGAAATTACAGTAAAATTCGTATGATTTAATATTTGGTTTTCTTCTCAGTTCTTTGTACAGATTTACTCTTAGTCTCACGATAAATAAACTACGCTTATGGCTTATTGCCTAGAATACTTTTTGTTCTAAGAAATGCACTTCGATACATGTACATGAGTTTGTATAGTTGAGCACACTAGTACAACTTGAAGTCATATCGGCATATCTCTGTTTGTTCTATAGTTTCGAACAGTTCACTAAGGTATTTATAGATTTTTTATTGTAGTGTAATATTACTCAGAGCAAGAAAAAGTTTAGTCTGAATTTTCTGTCGAAAAAAAAAATAGAATATCTCGAGTGCAATAAGTCAATATATGAAATGGTAATGTTATTCAAGTTTATTTGTCGATATTAAAATTTTTAGAAATGCAAGTGATGAATAAATACGTTTAATAACGATTCAAAAATTTTCTTCGAAGTTTTCACTTCGAATTAAAATGGAAATATATAAAGTGTTATACAGAGAAGATGTGTAAACAATAGGATGACTTGTTTATTTGTGAATAATTATAATTTCTATGCCTTTTATCAATACCAGAAAACAATCAGTTTTTTTTCTGTTCAATCTAAAGTTATTAATAAAGATACTTACTCAAAATGTTGTTGTACTTCTTCGTCTGTATAAGTATTCCCACTAAATTGTTCTAGTAAAAATCAATAATAAACATCCTAAAAAATAAATTGACTATTGACTTACCAAAACCACCTTCTGGTTTAGGAATAGAGTTATTATTTGGAT